GCCGAAAGGCCGTGCATCATCTGCTCAGGTTGCACTCTCTTGTCAGTGCCAACTCCCGATCAGCGGCTCTTCCTCTCCGCATCAACCCTGTCTGCTCGGCCCAAAAGCACCGCCGTCATTATACACTTGATCTTGGTAGTCTCGCCACGGAGCCATGTCGCATCCAGGCCAGTAAAAGCTATTCTATAGGCACGACATCGGAATTGTCCGGTCCTTTGGATTCGCCATCCAGGTAGGCGGGTCGGAGTGATTTGGGAGGAGCAATTGACCCGAGCATTCCTTGCTCGTTCGGTTCTTGCGTTTCCACCAGGTAGCAAGCAGATTGGTTGTTTTATGTCCATCATCGCACATCGTCGCACATCCTCCGCCAGTTCAGCCCCGCGGCAAGCACCCGCGTTTTCAGCGGACAATATCCGGCGCGGGAATACCTCCAGAGCCATCCGGGATATCCGTGTCGGCGTGCAACGCGAAGTCGTCTCCACCGGCTTCGATTATCAGCACCCCCAGTCGCGCTAATCAGCGACTCCCTGTCGCCAGCAATCCCAGTCCCCGCCCGAACTTCAACTCCTTTTCATAGGTGTTCTAATCTATACTCTGATTCTAGTCCTAACTCGAGCCCAATCACTGGCCCCTAGCTTAGCTGCGGATCCTAATTTATATTTTGAACTATCGTCCGGCCTCCGGCGATTAGGACATTCGGGGAGTGACATGGGGTCCCTGGCTAACGCGACTGAGGGACCCTGATGATCAAAGCCGGTCTCCGCGGCCGCGTCGGCTGTCGCCCACCGCTTTCTCGTCTTTGGGTTAGTAGCGGAGTCGTCAGGGATCAACCTCCTTACTCGGCGATTCATGACATTGCAGGGGGTGCTCGCCTCCCCAAGGTCGGGAATTTCGTCCTGGGTAACATGGATTTTCTCGGGATCTGCCAGCGCTCAGGCAGGCGAACGGACGCGAACCAGGTGCTGTGCTGCAAGGTGGAGGCTGTCAAGAGCCGCCGGCAGCTAGTTCCCGTCCCCTGTATCTTGTGCGAGGGCGAATCGAGAAACTGCCAGTCACGACAGCTTCTTCTTTTCAAATCTCTTTTTTTTTTCTGGGTGAACCCTCCAAGTACCTATTTTACATCTATACATACATAATAACGCCGCTGTCCAGCAAGTCGCTTACCGAGGCTTGAACTTGTAGTAGCTCGCGTTGGGATCCCCCTGCTGGCCCTTGTGGCTGACGCTGCTCAGCTCAAACTGCTTCGTGACCACAATGTTCTCGGCCCTGCTGCCGCCGCCCCGGTCCGGCATCATTCCCAGCTCGACCCGGTTCATCTCGTCGCTGGGCGACTTGAGCGTCTGCAGGTCGTGTTCGGACCGGTCGTCCAGCCACGCAAAAGGCCGTCCGTCGTCGTCGACGCGTCGTCCGCCGCTCTGCCCGAACGTCACGAGCGAGTTGTCGGCCCCGGCCGAGACCTTTTGGCCGCTGCGCTTGGCTCCGGACGAGGCGACGCCGCTGCCGCCGGCCGTGAAGGAGGTGGTTCCGTGTAGCAGGAGGTTGAGGATTGGTTTGAGGGATGGGAGGCAGCCTGTGTCGACGCAAAATGTGGTTAGTGGGGGTGTGTGATATGATGGAAGATGCATGGGGTAGCAGGATGACTGACAGCAGACAACGGCAATGTTGCCCTCGGCGTTGGTCCAGATGATGGAGTCGGAAAAGTTCCAGGTAATGTCGGGCGACTGCAGATTAACGTGCATGATGAAGCCGAAGCGGACCATGGAGATGACGGTGACGCTGTGTGGCGAGACGTAAAAGTCAGATGTGCTCTCTTTGGGTGGGTTAATTAGACAGCTGCAAGCTTAACTTACAAGGCGCCGAGCAAAAAGATGCCAATGACGGCAATCTTCTGCGACAAACGCAGCTGCAACCTCCACACAAACGGCGCCGGCATGGCCACGATGAGGGCGTCGGTGACGATGGTGGGCACGGCGTTGCCGATGAAGAACTTGCCGTTGTCGACGCCGCACGTGTACTCGGACGGCGGCATCGGGTTGACCGGGTCCAGCTTCTCCCACGACGCGCGGACGGGCACGCACGTGAAGAGGGACACGAGGAAGATGGCGACGCCCCAGCACATGACGATGCCCGTCATGACATAGATGGGGATCCGGATGGCCGTCTCGGCCTTGAACAGCCGCCAGTAGAAGTGCAGCGTCGACAGCTTGACGGCCACCTGCGAGATGGTGTAGGCCAGCTCCGACACCAGCAGCCCCTGCGCCCACACCTTGGCCGCGTTGGGCGGTGCGGCCCAGATGTGCAGCCCCGTGCCGTGGGGAACCATGTAGCCGATGGAGATCAAGACGTGGACGGAGGCTGCGATCTGCGAGCAGGCGGGGAAAAGGACGGTCAGCTGCTGACTAGCGGCGCTGGGGCCGGGAGGAGCAATGCCCGGGGGACAAATCACACGCACCAGACCAAACGTGACGAGCCAGTCGTCCGCGTATAGCTTCGACCCCTGGAGCCTCCGGGCGATGAGGCGGAGGCCGACGGCCACGATGGCGCAGAGCCACGTCGTCACCAGCGAGCCCAGGATCTCGGGCACTCTGGTCTCGGTCAGGTTGAGGCCCTCGGGCGGCGGTGGGAGTGCCATCTTGGACTGGCTAGTGCGATAGGACAGACAAAGCTGAAGATAACATCGGACGGGCAAAAGCAGCGATTGTCGCGCGAGGATGGGAGGCTCGGTTTCCCATCCCCTATATGTATGTTGGGTGTAGTATTCGATTTGTTGTGCTTGGCATCGGATCGAGCGGCCTTGGAAGGGTTTGCCCTGTTTTATCTTTTGGCCAAGGTTACATCGCCCCCTGATCTCGGGTTCCGCCGCTGACAGTGCCGCCCAGAGTTAGTCCATATCCATCCTGAAAAGCGTGTTTTTGGCTTCCGGAGCGCCGTTGAATTATATCATATTGCTTTTCGTGTCCCGCCTTACAAATTGTTGTGATATCTCTTTCTGTTATTTCCACGACAGGCTTGCGCGGAAAATTGCCAAACTTTCTGCGTTCAAGGGGCAGGTCGGCTACCACTGCCGCCAAAAGCCCCTTGCACGCCATCACCCCGGTCAACCGTCGGAAGCATGAATCTGATCCTCCGTCCCCTGAACACGCCCCGCTTCTCGTCTACATGATGGGGCCGGCTTTGGAGAAGAATTTGCAAATGACCCGCCTACCACCTCCACATCGTGAGTTTGACCCCCCTTATGTTTCCGCAAGGCCTGCCTTTGTGGGCTAGCGGATGAGGGTCTATCCCTCTCTCCAACTCCGCCATCCAGGGAGGGCAGTAAGCATCTCTAATGGCGAGTGCTTAACATGTAGTTTATGCCGTCCCGGACCCTGTATATTCGGTTAAGCTTCGGCCCGGTAGGCTGATCCGCAAGTGGATGATCGCACACATAGGCGAACCATTTGGTCTCCTCTGGCAACGAAGCCATCTGCGTAAAATGGCACAAGTGGACAGGGCTGACAGGTGGCCGTCCAGGTTCTTGAGTCGGGTTATATACCCCGCCTATCCCAGCCGGCAGGGACAACCCTCGCACTGGCACCAGGCTTGGGTCGATGCAGCCAGGCCAAGTTCCGTCCACTCGTTTGCCAAAGCAACCCGGCGGCAAGTTGAGCCGGACACAAACTGTTACGCTGCGTGGCGCCCCGCCGTACTGCTGCGCCATACTGCGCATACATACAAAACAGCCTGCTGTTCCGGCCGTTCCGTGGCCCAAGATGCGGTTCAGAAACCTAGTCTCGCTGGCGACATTGACTTTGGCAAGCATTGTAGCGGCACACCCTAACACCAACAAGCTTTTTGACGACGCCACCACCACACCGCCAACATGAGCCACTTCCACCTGGTCCCCGGCGCCTGGCACGGCCCCTGGGCTTTCGACCTGGTCCGTGCCGAGCTCGAGGCGAGGGGCTTCTCAACTTCGACCTCGACACTGCCCAGCGTCGGCACCACGGACCCGGACCAGGCCTTGTATGCCGACGTTGCTGCCGTGCGGGCCGATCTCGAGGGGCTGGTTAACGCCGGGAGGGAGTTCGTCCTGGTCGGCCACTCCTACGGGGGCGCCGTCATCGGCAGTGCAGTCGAGGGGCTCGGCGCCCACCAGCGCAAGGCCGCCGGCAAGGAGGGCGGCATCGTCTCGCAGATCTGGATGGCAGCGTTTGCTCTCGACGTCGGCGGCAGTCTGAGCGCCGGGCTTGGCGGCGCTGTTCCCGATTGGTGGTCCATTTCTGTGAGTGATCGGCCCGTGTGTTCTTCTTTGAACGTTACGTGACGACTAACAGCACGCACCCACAGGCCGACAAGCAGTTCTTCTCCCCGCGGACCCCGGAGCAAATTTTTGTAAGTCCTCGAGTCAAATTGACCACCAACACAAGACAAGCTCCAAACTAACCCGTCAAACCAGTACAACGACGTCACGGACAAGGAGCTGGTGGCCAAGTGCGCCGCCGCTCTGGGCCCGGAGCCGCTGAAGATCACCACGGAGACGGCCACCTACGCGCCCTGGAAGGAGGGCTTCAACGTGGCCTACATCTTTTGCGAGCTGGACAACGCCATCCCGATCGCGGCGCAAAAGGGAATGGCGTCGCAGTTCCCTGCCGACGCGTTTACCGCGACCATGAACGCGAGCCACTCGCCTTTCCTGAGCCGGCCCAAGGAGCTAGCTGATCACCTTGTTGCCGCACTGGAGCACTCCAAGTCCAAATAGGTGTGTTACTGTACATAGGTAGAGATGATGTATTGACGCAGCGTCCGTTACTGCTGGCCATTTTGCTATCATTGCGTACTGGTTTCATTGATCCTTTGCCGATATTTGCTGGGCCTTTGTTCTCGATGGGCTGCTTTGTTTGGCACGGGGTTTGGAGGAAGTCACGCCTGGACAGCAAACACCGCGTTCCTGCCTTCTACGCTCCTGCCGTCGCCTACTTCAAAGCAAACTCGCGGCGTCTCGTCATCAAAACATCCAAGCGCGTGTAGTTTAAGGGTAAAATCCATTGTTCCCATTTAGGATTCCAATGGGCTCCGGGTTCGAGTCCCGGCGCGCGCAATCTTCATTTTTTTTTTCTGCGCACCTCGACTTGGGAGTTCTCATTTTTTTTTTTTTTTTTTTATATTGCGTGAGCGTTAGTTAACGACTGCCTCCAATCGACTCGATGCAATCCACGTCATCCGTAACCATGCTAGCTTGGTCAGGTCGGGTTCGGCAGCGATGGCGGACTCGCGCCGTCTAGATGGCTCAGGGCCTCTGCTTCACCCTGGAATGTGGGTTGTTTGCTGGTCGGGCTGCTGGCGTGTATTGAATTGGTCGTTTGCCTTGCTCGACGGTGCTGGCCATTACTCTGCCGTTTTTGCGCTCGTGAGGGAAAACGGGCTGGCCGCCGCCCCACAACCCAGCGCGCTGACTCGCCATCGGTGCCCCACTTCTGGAACGCATCAACGCCTGCCTTTTTCACTATCAAACAAACGCCTTCTTCTATCTGGATCCTGTATCGACGGCCACGTGCGGACATTTCAGCCGAGGCCTATTGTCATTCGCTCTCAATGCCTATGGAGCTCTCCCCGTAGAGCCGACAACGTCCATCTGCCACTCCATCAGCCTGCGCGCCTCTTTCACGCCCTGCTCCATCAGCTCCGTCAGACTCAGCTTGGACGCGTTCTGCCGCAGGTGCACCAGGTAGTCGTCCAGCACCAGCTTGTTGACGTTGACCTTGGACACACCGCCCGCAATGCTCCGCCTCATCACGTTCTCGGGAAAGCCGTTGGTGCCGTGCAGGACGAGGCGCACTCTGCCGGCCGCCGCCCTGCGGATGCTCTCGAGCCGGTCCCAGTCCAGGACGGGCCCGCGCTGTCCGTAC